AGCTCACTATTAACTAGCAAAACTAAAGATAACTAGCTATGTTCATTTATATATGGGGATACATTTAGTTTGATTCATTTATTTTTTTTTGGTTATTTTACTGGTATAGACCCTAATGTTGCAAACAGATGTAATTGCTTAGATCCACATTAAAATCAGTGGAGAAAGATAACAGGCCAAAAGGTTTTGTATGGGGGGGGTGGGGGGAAGCATTCATGGCTCCCAAAAAATAGAGTTTTTAAAATGTGACTATCGTTAGATTTCCTCCCCGTTTCCCCCCCTGGCCCCATCTTCGACAGTTGCTGTCCATCTCCTGTTCTCTGGCTGTTCTGCCAGTTTTTTTGTTTCCCTTTTTTCTTCCTTCCCCTTAACCTGTTGTTCCCAATTTTATTTTACTCTTGAGCATTTCAGCTTTTTCTCTGACGCAAGATGTTCAGCCATGTGAGGCCTGTCTTGTATTAAAGTGATTTATTAAATGGAAGATAAGAAATTAAAATCTGATCCTCCAGAAAAAGCTTTTCTTCTGCGTGAGTATCTGGTATAACCATAAGAATTGAATGTAGAACACTTTACAAATTGTTATTGTACTACTAGCTAGATAGTTGTGCTTCCTGTGATTGGTCACAATTGAATCCACCTAAAACTAGCGTTTCTGCTGAGAGAGGGGGGAAAAAGCTAAAGGGAAAAATATGAGAAGTATTCAAACAAACAAAACCCCAAGGACCTGTCTTCTATGTTCATAACCAGGGGACAAAGGTTATGGTGTCAAATATTACTAAAACCAGTGTGTTAAACATAGTGCTAAAGTAAAGTCTTTATGTTCTGAATTGCACATGCTCTGGTTTACAGCAATGCAGAGTGTGGCTGCTTATTTTTCCTGGTACTTCTAGTACAGCCCCTTTGGGGTCTACCAGAGTAAAGACAAGTAAATATTTATGAAATCCACATTTCTAATGCTGTAGTTCTGTACCCTGTAAAAAATGTAATAGTGTGGAGTAAGGCTTTTGAGCTATGTCTGTTCCTACTGTAGGTAACCTTTCTACTGCTTCCCAAATGCATATATATCTATATTGCAAACAATAAAAACAAAGAAACCAGGGAAGAAAGGCATTACATGAGTTAGTGGCTTGGATCTTTCAAATTGGACCATCTTGACCAAGGTCTAACCTTTCTGAGGCGAAAGAGAATGATCAGGGGCAGTTGAACAGTTACATGTAGTTCACCTGCAATTCATAATTTTGAAATTCTTCAAGTAGGCCTCTGTACGTTCCCAATAATGGAAGATGTGCTGCTGATGTAGCAGGATTAATGGAAACCTCTAAAATCTCCACCTGTTGGAGCACCCATGCACCCTCCTTCAGGGCCCCAAATGTTCTGCAGGCAAGGATATAAAAAGAGAGCCCCAAGTGCCTCGGTTTCATTAAACTCTGTGGTATTGGGCAGACCAGGAACACTGGCTGAGTGTCCGACCTAGCTCTCTGGAAACAGTTTCCAAGTGCCTGCCTTTAGATAAGTTAATTGTTAGTTCATAGTTGGTAGATAGTAGTAGAAAACTTGGGAGCCATTAGGTGCAGACATGCTGGCACTTGTTCTCAGATCTGTGATGCGAGATCCTAAAGCTAAGAGACAGGAGTTCAAGAGGTGTGCTTTATGTTCAGTTTGTAATCTCCTACCTGGCCTGATCTATAAAACTGCTAGCCTCTCATCACTTTTCAAGATCTGTTTTGCCGTGGTGCTCACATGAAACTTGCCAACAATTTATTGCTAGACTCAGAGGCCATCTTGCAGGTGACCGATGGGTAGTTAGGGAAAGCTAATATTACATAATTTACACCATAATAAAAATAAATTAATATTTATATAAAATGAGATTTGTCTCCTCAACTCACACCCTTCATAAGTTGATTCCCATTTTAAAATGCAAGTAATTTGGGTCAGAGACCATGCCAATTACTATGTTTATAAAATGCTTTGTACATTGAAGTCCTGATTAAAATCTCTTGACACAACCATAATATGCACATTTAATAACTAATTAGGCATTGGTAACATACACTGGGTGATTATAAATATATAATCAAAATATATAAAAAATGAGATGCAAATATCCTACACATGCCAGCTTTTTTAACTGGTATTTCTAAAATTATTTTTTGTGTTTTAAGTAGTTTTGGGATCTTTTTGAAGGAGACTGTGGGGCAAATTCATCCAGAGTGTAAGTCCCTTGAAGTGACTGGAGCTATATCAGGAATGAGTTTACCTCCATAATTGTGGCAATGAAACTTCGCATGGAATAGTCAATGTACATAATTACTCCTCAACAATGTGCTCCTCAACAATGTGCTCGTATGTGGTCCAATAGATAGCTGTCTTAAATTTATCCTTCTTGAGATACAGGTCACTTGAATCCCAATTGTTCATTGGAAGTCTTTGCAGACCTTACACAGCCAGGGTATGAGTACATTTGTTGTTTGAATAAATCAAACCTACCCATTCATATTTTTTTTCTTAATGAGATTTATTCTTTATGCTGCAGAATCTTCTCTTTTGATAGCTTATTTTTATCATGTTCAGCTTCTAACGGGGAATACAGAGGGACAGTAATACGTAGTACATTACAACTAAAGGTCTTGTAACTTGGCATGCAAAGTTATTTGTGCTGTTTAATGTGTGTCGTGACATGAAACTGGTGAGCACCTCTTGTATTTAAGTGATTTCTGATGATTAAATATCTGTTTGCTAGTGATCTAGAAAACGGTTTGTGGTGGTTTATTTTATATTCATTTTTTTTAAAGTGTTCCTTTAGGCACAATAGAGCAGCACCAGAGAATGAATGAAATATTGGGGGGGGGGTTCCCCTCTGGTAATCTGGTTACTGACTGCAATACAGAATACTGTGAAGGTCAGGCAGAGTATAGCAATACATTGGAACAAACTCAAGTATTGCAACATCAGAGAGAGTTTTACTCTGTTTCCCTAGAGGTCAGTGTGCTGATATACTACAACATTTCAGTGATTGATATCCCAACTAGTTGATCTGTGAACACTATTCGCTACCATTTCTTCGAGGGGCATCTGTCTAAAGCAGAAGCATCCATGTGAGAGTTGTGCTAACTGCCAGTGTAGAGAAGTGGGTTGCCAAGGTTTACAAGCAGACTCAGCTAAGCTTTTTTCACCTGACCTACGTAATCTTGGTCTTGGAGGTAACAATACAGCAAAGGTCTTTCCTGCTTTGTCAGTGCTATAGGTAGCATTGGAATAGAAAATACTTACCCATTTTATTCTTTGTGCAGCCAGCAGTGATGAGGCGTTAAAACACTTCCAAAAACAGTAGTGAACAAAGAGTAATGTGCAAGTGACTTAAAAATTCTTCAGTGGTTTGCTTGCTTCTTAGAGTATCTTACTCTTTTTAAACCTGGTTGACAAGTGGTATCTATGAATGTTGACCATAATACTGATCTAATGCTAATAACCTTCCTGATATGTGAACTGCTTAGTATTCAGCAGAGATTGAGACAGAATATTACGAGACATTCAATCTGAAAACCTTCTCCTCGATTTGTTTTTGGCATCCAAATTGATGCATCTGAGCAAATGTGTGATTTGAGATTCAGTTCTTGTCAGTGTTAGAGACCACTCAGATGCTGTTCTGGTGTGTCCTTTTCAACTTAACTGTTTTGGGTTCTAATCTGCAGCGCACCGTAGAGAATGTCTGCATAGTTTCTTGTAAACATTTTCCTCATTTTAGTCCTAGATTAAAAGGATTTCTATTTATTCGAGCTTCAGATGATTTGCAATTAGCTTTCTCAAATGGACCCAATAACTTGCTTAAAACTTTCAGTGTGATAATGGTAAAAAGTAAACAAAAAATCGTTAGTGAAATAGATAGATGGCCTTGTCCCAGATTGTTATCTTGCACCCAGTTTATTCAAAGTAATGAGTCAGTTTTTTCTCTTCCTGTTTCAAGGAAATGAATGGCATGCTGAAGAGCATGCTTTCAGAATGGTTTTCTACGGGATTCCTAAACCTGGAGCGAGTCACCTGGCAGTCCCCTTGTGAAGTGCTTCAAAAGATTAGTGAGTAAGTGCCAAGAATTTCCAATGTTTGATGTAGTTCAGGGGTCGGCAACGTTTGGCACGCGGCTCGCCAGGGTAAGCACCCTAGCGGGCCGGGCCAGTTTATTTACCTGCTGACGCGGCAGGTTCGGCCGATCGCGGCCCCCACTCGCCGCGGTTCGCCGTCCCGGGCCAATGGGGGCGGCAGGAAGCCACAGCCAGCACATCCCTCGGCCTGCGTTGCTTCCCGCCGCCCCCATTGGCCCGGGAC